TTGTTCAGCATTTACAGCCGAACAATACCAGCATCATCAACAGCAACTGGCACTAATGCAGAAACAGCAGCTTGCACAAATTCATCAACAGCAAGCAAATAGTAATTCTGCAAACACTTCACAGGTGAGGGAATTGCCTATATTTATTCCTCATTTTTTCTCACCCGGGTCATCTCTAATTCTCAGCTGTTGCCATAAGATCTTGCAACTAACCAACAGGAAAATGGCTTTCACTTGAATCTCCATCTTAGCCATACTCTAGAGCAGTCAAACTGGTGGCCTGTGGGCTGGATGCGTCATACCCACCCCAGCTCCGCGAAGAGAAAAAAATGTGATACATCACATGATGCAGTGAGTTTGACACCCGTGCTCTAGAGCATTTAGAAGTGATGCTATAGGTGAGTATAGATGGCACTACCACTGCCCCCTAACAGAAAAAAGTGATTCAGTAATGTAAATATGCAGCAGAGGAGTCCAAGAGAAGTCTGATTGATGTCAACAGCATCACAACATTGAATGCACACCCCAGAGGCACAGAGCTTGTGTTGCAGTACTGGCAAGTCTTGATGGATACCACTATAATTGTATTCTAAAGAATTCTAGATAACTCGTTTAGATTGTATATATTTGTATTCCCTTTTCCCCTCAAATAAATTTACAGTTCAATCCCTCCATATGTGAATGACAGCACACTTTAAACCCCTCAGTGTTTTCAGAAAACAAAGCTTTTCATCTCCTCTTAAATTAGAAAAACTAGTTACAATATGTGTCATTTCACTGAGTTTGATTTATTCAAGTGTTTTAAAAATACAACATGCTATGGTTTAAAATACTGGTGAAAAGACCATTCCTTTAGTCAGAAAATACCAATAATTAGTTTTACAGTTGTGTATATACTTACTGCTAGTAATCAAGTACTGGCTTTAAAAAATAAAATGTTTTTTTTTTCTTTTCTTCTTTCTTTTCCTTTTATTTTTCTTTTGTTTTAGTACAAAACAAATAGACCAATGAATACTAGAAATACACCGAAGCNCAAATTAGACATACCCAATTCCATCAACCGTTCTTTATATGTTTTAGTCTCCAGTTCCCTAACCTTCTTCGTTGCTCTTCTCTGCATTCTTTCTAGAGCCATGATGGTGAATCTATGGCACACGTACCAGAGGTGGCACACAGCGCCCTCTCTGTGGGCATGTGAACCGTTGCCCCAGCTCAGCTCCACCACGCATGTGTGGACACCTTCTGCTGGCCAGCTGGTATTTGGGTCTCTGCTGTGCATATGTAGGGGGTGTGGGGTCCCGTTGGCAGGGCGCATGCATGGAGGCAGGGCGCATGTGCAGGGGACACATACATTTCATTTTGGGGGTTTGGGGAGGGGTGCACATGCATGCGCTTTGGGCATTCGGTTCGAAAAAAGTTAGCCATCCCTGTTGTTTTTTTTCCATCATGGCAACCAAAACGGAATGAAGAAGCTGAAGAAGAAACTCTGCATATTTTTCTTTGTCTCTGGGATGGACATCCATGTGGAGAATGTTGGGTGGGATCTAGCTTGCTTCAAATTATCCCGTCTCCAAAAATGCATTAGTGGGCACATAAAACTCTTTAGTTGAAAGTGTTATGGCATCTCGGCCCTCAGCAGCCATGGGAACAGCCAGTTCTTCAGGATACCTGGTATCCTTTCCCAATCTTGGGAACCTTGAAAAAACTTTCATCTCCTATTTCTTCTGATGCTTAGAGAAGCTTGAAGGTGTGACTTTCTTCCTCTCTGACGTCTCCTATTGATTGCGAGTCCAAATCTATATCAAACCCAGACAACCTGACCTCCAAAACTAATTTTTTGCAGATTTAAGCTGTTTTATATGTCTGCTTTTTCTGGTGCTCAGGGAACAAGGGACAGAAAATGGCTTTGAAATCTTGTAAATAAATAAGCCTCGGCCTTTTGGTCTTAACAGCTCTCTCAATAGTCCAGCACAGCCGGCAGAGAACTTTCATCAAAGTTGGCCTTGGACTGAAAATGCTTTCAAGCAAGGGCAGAAATCGTCTGCGCTCTGCCAGAAGTGGCCCTCGGAGACGGAAATAAGTATTGTTCTCCCTGATGCATTTTTAGATTGAAAGTTGGCTATTGTCACAGCAAGATTGATACCCCAATCAGGGTGGCTGGGAGACCTGCACCTGTGGCAAAAGAAAGCAATCCAAAGGGAACCTTTGCTTGCTGTCTTTCATCTCAGTGCGAGAGTGTCAGATGCTAAAAAAAGAAAAAAGAATGAGAGAAAATTAAAATGGCAAAAGAAGGGAATACAAGATTCCCTTTTTAGAGCAGGGGCGTCAAACTCAAGGCCCGCGATCTGGATTTGGCCCATGGGATGCTTAAATCTGCCCACGGGGCCACTCTGGAAAGAGATTCAAAAATGTTTACTATGGGTTCTGTGGTTGTGGCTTGGTGGGCGTGGCATGGCTTGGTGGGTGTGGCTTGGTGGGTGTGGCTTGGTGGGCACGGCAGGGGAAGGATAATGCAAAATCCCCATTTCCTCCCAATCAGCTGGGACTCGGGAGGCAGAGAATAGTTGAGTGTGGGGCCAGTTAGAGGTGGTATTTGCCGGTTCTCGGAACTACTCAAAATTTCCACTATCGGTTCTCCAGAACTGGTCAGAACCTGCTGAATTCCACCTCTGATGTAAGGTCTTCCAACTTTCCCTGAACAGCTTGGATTTACTCCTTTTGAACTCAAATTTGAGAAGATTAGAACCTCTCTCTTTCTCTCACTCACTTTCCTTCACTCACTCCCTCCTTTCCACTTATCTAGCTTTATTTAAAAAGGATATAGCTCCAGAAGAGATGATATCTGTAAGCAGGGACGTGCAGTCAGGGGAGGCAGGAGAGGCAGAGCCTCATCACTGTCATCATGAAAAGAAAAAAAACGTAAAAGGAAAAAGGCAGGCTGAGCTGGTTGCTGCCAGAGTCACCGTAGATAACTCTGCTTAGTGCTTAACTGTTTAAAAAAGCCTCTTAAAAAGTGCCCTTTACAGGAGGAGGCAGGAGAACAACGTGCCTCACCTAGTGTGACTAGGCGTTTTATGATCACTCGAGCAAAGTTAAGCAAGGGTTAAAAGCCTAAAAATTCCTGATGTGGGTGAGACACGTCGTTCTCCTGCCTCCTCCTGTACAGGGCGTTTTTAGAGGCTTTTTTAAACAGTTAAGCAGAGTCATCCACGGTGACTCTGGCAGCAACTAACTCAGCCTGACCTCAGCTCTTGCCTTTTTCCTTTTACAATTTTTTCTT